CCCCGCCCCCCAACCTCTGAACTTCTCCAGGTAGAACCATAAAACCTCTCTTCCATCCCACGGAGATGCTGCCGGGGCAGGGAGGATTGAGTTTCTCCCCGTCTGCTGCCGGGGATTGGTAATAGCCTGAAAAAAGCTTTGCCTGTATTTACATTATACAGTCCTGGCACGCTGCATGTTTATTAGGCAACGCGATCCTGCTAGGTTAAACATTACATATATAGGTTTAAATTATATTATAGGTGGGGCTGGTAGCTCTGCTTTTTATTAACATTTCCCAACACTTCGCATTACGAGCCCCTGCATTCGTCTGCTTATGGCTTCGCCACGCATTATCCGTTTGGGATGAAATTTTCCACGCTGCTTTGTCTGCCGCGGAGAGCTGAGATTTCAGCCCTTTCGGGGGAAATGCGCCCTTGTTAAAATCTTGGGATGGCAGCACCTTTGACAATTTCAGAACGGGAAGTTGGGATCTGGCCCTGGGCTTGGCATGCGGGCCGAGAGATGCTTTGTTTTTTCCTGCCTCCCTCAAAATCTGCCTGAGTTGTAAACCTCACGTGAGCTCGCTACAACCTCCGTACAGGCAGGGAGCTTTTCCACTGCCTGCGCTGTCGCTGCAGGACCAGGCTGGGACCCGTTGCCCCAAGGCAATAAAGCATCGTCTGGTGAAGAAGTGACTCTGCTGCTAGGGATACTTCTCTGCATCCTTGATCCTGAGGGACTGGTTTGCAGGGATGCCCATCCCGGGGCTGCACTCCCCGCGGCGTGGCCGACACCGGCGTGCTGCCACTCATGTCACTGAAAACTACTTCACGTGGGCAGGGTGGCAGAAATTAGCGCAAAGGCAGCACCTGGCAAGTTTTGAGGGCTTGACCTGCCAGCGTAAATAGAGTTTTGGGGTGGTTTTTGCTTTTTTGCAGGCTCGCATATTTTATATATAATGATGACATGACTCCATATATTCTACATATCCGTAGTCACATTGCTAATGTCTTGGAGGGATCATCCTGAAAGCATTTTGGAAAACAATATGAATTTTCCGACTTTGCTCTTTATTTACTTGAACTCCGCTGGTGCAACCTAGGCAGCGCGCTTGGCTCGGTTCAGCTACAGTCAGCTTTGCTTTTGATACTCGTATGCCTTAGCTGTGATTTTTGTAGACTGCAGAAGGAAACACTTCTTATTTATTGGGGAAAAAAAATAGTGATTGGACTGCCAGTTTGGGAAAATATTCTTGCAGCTTTTAGATATTCCCCTGAAAAAAACCAAACCTCTATTTGCAAATAACTGCTATTGGGATGGGTATTATGCTCTCCCATGGTTGTATTTAAAAACCTTCTCCAAAACGTGCGTGAGGCTGGATGTGCGTGTCTTGGCCTTGGAGAAGATGGCCGGGAAGGACAGCGGGTGCAGAGCGCCCCGGGGGGGGGCTGCCTGCACCTCTGCCTGCCTCACCCTGTGCCATCCTCCCGCTTCAAACGAAAGCTCCTGAGACACCAAGCGGTCAGTGCAAGGATAAAAGGAAAGGAAAAATCAGCTCCAAGAGGGACTTTGTTTAAGCAGCATTGACCCACAAGCTCAGCTAATTTCCTTATCTGCAGGCAGGAATATAGCTGTACTTATTTAGATATTCCCATATGGGTTTTGGGTTTATTCCAGGTTGGTTTGGTTTTTTTTTTCCCTCCAATTTAGGCTGGTTTGAACTCTCTGGGATGGGTTGCAAACTCCTGACACGGAGGGCTGGGTCTGTGCGGTGTTTAGGCGCTGTCACCCCGGGAAGGAGAAGGTGGATGCAAACGCCAGCCTACGAAAGCATCCACACGTTGGGGCGGTGCCACGGCTGGAAGCCCCGGGATGAGCCCCCCACCTTCCCGTCACCTTTCCCCCTCCTGACCCAAGGGGCAATCCCAACCGCATCCCTTCCAGCCCACGCTGCCTGACCGGGTGCCTTTTCTTTTGCAGGCAGGACAAGCTCAAAATCCACATGCGGAAGCACACGGGGGAGCGGCCGTACCTGTGCATCCACTGCAACGCCAAATTCGTGCACAACTACGACCTGAAGAATCACATGCGCATCCATACGGGCGTCCGGCCCTACCAATGCGAGTTCTGCTACAAGAGCTTCCCCCGCTCCGACCCCCTCCATCGCCACATCAAACGCCAGAGCTGCCGGATCGCCCGACCCCG